ACTCTACTACCACTCTTGTCGACGAACAATGTGGCATCCAGCATCACCCACATCCAGGCACCCGCCTCATCCCTAGCCGGTCGGTCTTTCCCCCTGAATGCCCCTACAATGGAGGCTTCGGTCACCGAACCATGCTGCCAGAACGAACTCATGAGTTCACCCTTGGTGACCGAAAGTATCGTCATGCAGAGCCCATGGTAGGTGTCTGAATCCGGGTCCTCAACGACCACGGTTCCTCCACAGGAACGCCCAAAATGGCCCGGACGTCGTGCAGCGTGATGCTCATTTCACTAAAAGGCAGGAGAAACGAGTTAGTATCCGGCTGCCATCGCTCCACAAACGCAGAAAGCAGTGGAGAGTCCACCAGGTGTGACAACCCGGTGTCTCCGATCAGAGCTCTCGTATCGGGAGACATATCATCACGCCAATCCCTCAAATTCTCAACCGCTCTCAGTCTGTTATGGCATTTCAACAGCCCCCTAAACTCTCCATTCCACATGCGGGAGGCGACGTGCCCTAGAAAGCTAGGGATGACACTCCTATAAATGGGCCCACCGGCCACTGGGCCTTTAACGATCCAGGGTACATCATCATCGGTCCTAGCTCGTTTGCTAGTACCTGCGTTACAATATAACATATCTATATGTACACTTGCTGGCAGATGCAGTAAATAAAACATATTTAATAAAACATATTTCATAAGTTTCCCGCTCTTTTTTTTTTCAATTAATGTAGAAACGTTACATTTTACATTAATAAAATATAATGACAATTTTAAACTAACTTATTATGTAATATTACTACTAATTGATGATAACAATAATAAAATTAATTATATTGTAGTTGAGGAGCAGACCGACGCACTTTTGTAACAGTACCGATAATTTGTTATTATTTAGTCAAAATATTCAATGTTAAAGAACAATAAATACGTAAATTATTTATCTGATGAGGATACACCGCTACCAAAACGCCCCCCAACCTGTCGTTGAGGAGCAACCTGTGTAGGACGAACAGGCTGTACAGGACGAACAACCTGTACAGGAGGGACAGCCTATATAGGAGGGACAGGCTGACTAGGACCCGTAGGATATATGGGTCGGGCAAAATGCTGTGGTGGGAGCTCCCTCTGGGGGTGGTGCGGGTGGTCCTGATCATGTGAAGAGTCGTCCTCGTTAGACTCCTCTGAACCCTACTCCCTCTCGCCGTACGACTCATAAGGATATCCCTGCTGACCGTAAGATAATGGTGCGCGTGCGCAGGGTATCGACTTCCCTGCGTGGCGGGGAAAAGAATATCCCCGCTGATCGTACGGTCCTAGTGCCGGGGGTATTGAATTGCCTGCCTGGCCAGGATAATAATATCCATGTGCACCGTACGGTACGACTCAGGGAGCATCGAACTGCCTGTCTGGCTGGCCCTCAAAATGATATCCCTGCGGACCATCTCGTACTGGTGCGGGGGGTCTCGAACTCTGGCTAGGCAAACCAGTCTGTCGCCTTTGAGCCTCATCAATCATCGCCTGTCTGTCCCGACAATCGGACGCATGGACACCCCGACTTTTAGTGTGTCGGGTGCCAGAACCATCATAATAGACATTGAACGCCTCGTCGTCGTCCCTGGCAGAAGATTGTCCATGTCTGCTAACACCTTGAATAAAAAATATAATTAGTAATTTTTTCATATGTAATAATTATTGTAATAACAATTAAAATAGATTGTAATTATTTATTTTAATTTATAAATTTTATTATTATAATTTATAATTATTATTGATGTAATTTATAATTATTATTATTATAATTATTATAATTAATTATATATATTATTATAAATTATAATTATTAATTATAATTATTATTATAATTTATTATTATAATTATTATAATTAATTATAATTATTATTACAAATTATTATTATTATTAAAATTATTATTATTATAAGCATTTATAATTTATAATTATTAATATTATTATTATTTTTATAATTTATAATGAATTAAAATTTATTCAACTTATTATTATTATAATTTTTAATTATTATTATTATAATTTATAATTGTTATTATAATTATTATAATTATTACTAATTTATAATTATTATAATAATAATAATTATCATTATTATTATTATAATTATTTATAATTTTTTTATTATTATTATAATTATTATTATTATAAGTATTTATAATTTATAATTATAATAATAAAAAAATTTCAAAAACTGTTCGGCTGGTCCGGTTTGGTCCGTCCGGCCCCCGATCGCGCCCCGTTTATCCGGTTTCCTGCCGCCGATCGCGATCGGCTTAATAGCCGTGCGTCCGGGGGGCCGGACGCCTTTTTCGCCGTCCGGAACCGACGATCGAAAATTATTTCGCGCGAAAAAAAAAATACCTTGCTAGAGAAGAATGTTTTGCCGAGGCTGTAGGATTTTTTCGACATTTTTTCGGATTTTTTTTTGTGCTCGAATCGCTCGTTGAAAGGTCGGGAGTTTAGAGAGATAGAGAGTTTAGAGAGATAGAGAGAGAAAAAGAGTTAAGGGCAAAAGAGTTAAAAAATGAGCTGTGAATAGTAAATGAGTTATTTATTTTTTTATTTTTATTTACTCTGTTTTTGTTTGGTGGTGTCCATGGAAGATGTTGTGGGATCTGGTTGATTTTAGTTGAAAGACTTAACCTTTTAATCATTATCTATATTATGAAAAAATGGTGGATAACTAAGACTGTTTGTCCGTCTTTTGGGGGCACATCTGAATTTGCTCTTTTATTTGGTGGGCTGAATTTAATTTTCTTGGATCCTATTGTTATCTAATCTTCAGCATTGTTGATCAATTGACAAATGATGAGATCTTGGAGCTTTTATAAGTTCCACGACAGAGATTAATTAAATTTAAGTTTCTCAAAGGATTTAAAGCTCTGTAGTTCAAATCTATGATGAACAAAATCCACTTAATATGTTCGGTTAATGGCAAAACAATGCAACGTATTTCAATATGTCCTTTAATTCGTAGTTTGAGTTATATTTCAAGTTCATGTTATTTGGAATAATTTATATTCATATCCGATATTAATCTTTCCATCCGAATACAACCTTATGTGCCATTATCTCTGAAGAATTAACTTTTAAGTTCAATGCTTGTATTTTGATTTTATATTTTCGAAATATTAAGATTTGTAAGAGACTTGTATATGTAACATAATGGTGATATGCAAATGTTAACGCGTCTTGGTACGCTTGGTAATTATTTAGCTGCTCAATATGATGTTTTTGTTTTAGTTTCTTTTTTTGCATCATCATCATCATCTTGTTACTCGTTGAAAGATCATACATGTAAAAATTCTTTGTTTCACTATATGCAGGCATTGATTGCTCTAAAGAAGGGAGCTGAACTGCTTAAATATGGGCGTCAGGAAAGCCCAAGTTTTGCCCTTTTAGAGTCTCTAACGTATGCCATTGTAATATATGTCCAATCTAATTATGTAATTCGTAATCTTTTCGTTGCCACTATTTTCATTGATATCTTGTAACGTGGGTTCTTTTTCCAATTTCTTTTTCTTTTCGGGTTTAGGGTTTAATATCACTCTGGTGATAGAATCGCTAGATTTCCACTGCCATGATATTTCTCCAACACACTCACACAAGCCCATCTATTTGTTGATCATTAATCAATATCTATCTATCTATTTATATCTATATCTATCTATCTATTCTATATCTATCTATCTATCTATCTATCTATCTATCTATATATCTATATCTCTATCTATCTATCTATCAATCTATCTATAAAAGGACGAGTGATTTTGTAAAAATAATGATCTGCCTAAAGAACCCTTACTTTGACATATTTTTAATGGCAAATTAGTAATACAGTAATATCCATCTTATATTAAATTTGTAATTGAAAAATGATCTATGGTCATAACAAATAAAGAATTTAATTATAACAAAAAATTAAAGGCACACGTGATGTACTATACTAAACTTTATAACAAATTCTAATAGTTTCAAACTCTAATTATTTTATTTTAAATGTGTTTTAGTGAATCAAATCCATATCGTGGAGTCATAGGACAACTTAGCATTGTGTCTAATAATGATATTTTTCATCTTATGCTAACATGAAACTCTTAAAAATAGACACTTGGTTTTCCTTATATATATTAATCCATTTTATTCATCTATAAAGGACTCTAATCATATATTAATATATGACTAAAGAAAAAATAATTTCTAAACACTCACGTAAAACATATTTCAAAAGATATACATTCAAAATAAACTAATATTATTTTAATTATTATTCATTTTGGTTGTTACCATCTAAAATATTTACCTAAAATAAGTGACAATAAATTAAGTGATTTTGAAAATTATGACATATAATGAAATATTGTATGAGAATTGGATAAAGAAAAACTAAAATAATAATAAATAGAGAATAGGATAAAGAATATTATTCATGGTAAACATGCTACCTTAAGGGTAAGTTTGGTTACTATAATTGATTGAGCTTGATTAATTCCCATAAAAAAAGTTAAGTGATATCCTCTTGATAAGAAAGGTATATTATTTTGTTTGGTTCATAATTGATAACTATAGCTTTATGTTAAGATTACTTTTTTACCCTCTAGTTAAAATCAAATTTTCAAGTGTTGCCCTTCATCTCCAATATAAAGCTTTACCTAAATGAAAATTTATTGAACAGAATTTCATCTCCAATTATAAAGCTTACATAAATTAAATTCTTCAACAAAATTTGGTAAATAATGTTATTAGTACAAGTGTACAACTCCAAATCGCAATCACCGTGTGAGTAGATGGGTTCAAATTTGATAAAATTTTTTCTTACTGCTACAAATTTCTACAACAAAATTTTACACTTTTTTTCCTTCTTTCCTCTCAGAAACTCAGAAACTCATAGTGAAAAAAATCTACCCAAATTTTGAAGCAGTTTATATATTGAAATTGTTAAAACAACATCAATTTTACAAATTGAGCAAAGAAAAAAAAAATCTGAGGCCTGGTCACCGAGCAAGAAGAGTAAGAGGCAAGCGATGATAGCTATCAAGGCGGCGACGGAGTACCGCTTGTTCGAGCCGCCACTTTCCGGCGACAAGGCCCGCCGCCTCTGGCTTTAGGACGCCGAGGCCCTCTTCTACTCCACGGAGTACCTGCTCGATGGAACACAAAATCCACCAAATCCGAACTGAAGTCCTTGGTTGTTGATTTATGAAATTAGAAAAAAAAAAAGNTGATCGTACTAGTACTAAATTAGAGTTGATTGAATAAGGAAGGCTGACACGCTTCTCGGTTGTGGTGCCTTCTTCTTTTTCTTAGAATAGAGACACATACATATTGACTTGTTGACTTGATTTGAGAATATACTTCATTTACTTTCTTTCATCGTTGACAGAAACTGAACTCAAGACAGACCTTCCAGCTTGATCTTATTGATGGATCATTCACTCAATCAAAACATTGACGCACGCGCCTTCTTTCTAGGTAATTGAATAGCAAAGTGACGGTCTCATCAGCGGCCTGGGAGTGAATGTGGAAGCTTAACACTAGCAACGGGCAGAACAGTTGGTAAAGGAGATCATTGGCACTATGGCGCATGTATGTTGAGTTCTTGAAGCATTGCCGATATCGATATATATTTCTTTGCATGGGTTGATTGACCTTGAAGTCCATATATAGATTCCCGTAGTTCATCTCAACTTGACCAACCATTGAGAATGGAACAAATAGGGGAGATTGAATTCTTCTATATTGTCTTTCAACCCTTGCTCTTGCCTTGGCTTCGCCTTCCACCTTCAGCTAAGCACCTAACCCGTGGGACGGGACCTTCGGTCTAGCCTTTGTTCGGGTATGGGACCGACCTGGGATTCTTCCATCCGAGTGAGTACCGCCCTTCTGATTTGGTTTGAGTACGGGACCGACCTTCTCTTTTGTTTGTAATTGGGCTTGCCCGAAACAAAGGAACCTTGGTGTGAGAACCCACCCGAGTTGGTAACCCAACGTTTTCACCTACGATTTCTCCCTCGTCTTCTTTGCCTAGCCTTTAGCTTCTTTCTTGTCTGATCTTAGATTTCACTGTTAGGAAATAGGGCATTACCTGTCACTCCGCCTTTCTAAGAAGGCCTTTCGCTTAGTTGTCCTTTCTACTAGAACTTCCCTTTAGCAGTTCTGGAACATCTATAGTATGCTTGAATGTCGGCAATTTTTCTATATTATCTTCCTCCTCGTCCATTAGTTCAGTTCCTTTCCTTAGTGAAATCTGCCCCCCCTCCATCTTTCGAGAACAACAAGAGGGCAAGCAGGCGTATTCTTCTTCACTTCCTAAGAAGGCATTTTCTTGCTAACAAGCCATTCTGGCAAACAAAAGAGCAACTTCTATCAAAGAGGAGCAAAGGCTAAGCGGAACTCCTCCCTTCATGTCTTCTTCCTTTCCAAGCTTGTTGCGGGGAATCTGGGCTCTTTTTCAGCCCCTAAGGACTGCAACTTTGATGAATGAGGCCTGAAGGTCTTAATTCCTAATGCTACTCCTTTCTTTTGTTGGTTTATTGGTTTATTGGTTTGTTGGTTTAACATTTGTGAAGTAATTTGGGCAGATTTGGTTGATTTATTGGTTTCTGATTCATTGGTTTTTGATTTATAGAATTATGGTGTCAATGGGTTCAAAAACCAGTGGTGATGCTGTGGATTCAAACCAGCCATTAGAAACGGAAACACCGACTGAGCCACAGACAGAACCAACTGAGATAGCAGCTGAAGCTCAAGCTGAACCAATCGCAACAGCTCCCACAAATGCGATACCCAAACCTCGATCCATTGCATGGGATAACTTTACAAGAACTAAAGCCGGAGATAGGGCCAAATGTAACCACTGTTCTACCTTGATAACTTGTAAGGGCAAGCAAGGTACAAGTACTAGTGCTATGTTAAACCATTTGAGAAGATGCAAAGCAAAGTTGGATGAGGTTCAAGATGAAGAGCGGCCGGGAAAGAGGATTAAGCAGGTAACATTGCATAATCAACCTAGAAGGGGTAGTGATTCCACTGTTGTCAATTCTTATTTGCATTTTGATCAACCACAATGTCGTAAAGCACTTGCAAAATGGGTTGTTGTTGATGAGATGCCATTTAGGATTGTAGAATCTAAAGGTTTTCGTCAATGCATGAGTGTGATTCAACCTAGGTTTGGAATTCCATCAAGGAAAACATTGGTTAGGGATTGTATTAAGATTTATGAATATGAGAAGTCCAAGTTGGAAAGTTTTATGAAGAACCACAAGGGTAGTATTTGCCTCACAACTGACATTTGGACATCATGCCAGAATCTTAGTTATATGTCATTGACAGCCCATTTCATTGATGAAAGTTGGAATTTGCATAAGAAAATTCTAAACTTCTGTCCCATTCTCGGTCACACTGGTGCTGCTATTGGGAAGAAAGTTGAAGATTGTTTAGTGTCCTGGAAAATAAATTTTTTTTTCAGTATTACAGTTGATAATGCCAGTGCGAATGATGTTGGTTTGAAATATCTGAAGGACAGGTTGAATAAATGGGGAGGAACAATTTTAGATGGCAAATATCTACACATGAGGTGTGGAGCACATATCCTTAATCTCATTGTTAAGGATGGTTTGAAGGAGTTTAAGGGTCCAGTTGAGCGAATACGTGCTGCAGTTCTTTTTGTCAGGTCTTCATCGAATCGAACACAAGCATTTAAGAAGCTGATTGAGAAAGCAAGATTGAGCACAAATTCGGTTGTTTCACTCGATGTCGATACACGATGGAATTCAACATATAAGATGTTGGATTCGTCCTTAAGAGTAAAAGATGCATTTGATCTGTTGGAATGTGAAGATGAAAAGTTCACTGAAGAACTGAAGAAAAATGGCAAAACCCCACCAAATGAAGAGGATTGGTCGTATGTGCGTGGATTTCTTCCATTTTTGAAGTGTTTTCATGACACTACTGTGAAAATTTCAGGTTCCAAGTATGTAACCGGAAATTTATACATGAAAGAAATTTTCCGTGTTGCATACAACATCCAATCAATGAAGGAACATTCAGATTTTATGGTTAGATCAATGGTTGCCAAGATGTCTGAGAAGTTTTTCAAGTACTGGGGTGATTGGAAGAATGTCAGTGCTATGATATATGTTGCAACCATTCTTGATCCACGTCACAAAATGCTTTGGGTGAGCTTCATGATCAACCTGTGTATAAAGAAAGTGATGCAAAGGAGCTGCTTAAGAAGATTGAGGGTGTTTTGAAAACGATGTTTGAAGAGTACAATTCCACATCACTATCTGGTGCAGCAGCGGATTCCTCATCTACTCAGACTCGGTCTAATATCATTGATGATGTTGTCAACATTGATGACTTTGAGAGAATGTTGCAAAGAGAAATGGAAGAATTTGAAGCCGTTGAAGTTCATGGTGTGTTGAAGTCTGAATTGGATAAATATTTGGATGATGAATGTGAAAAGATGACTCAAGTGAGCTTTGATATTCTGTACTGGTGGAAGACAACAGGATCGAAGTATCCAACTCTTTCTCGCATGGCTAGAGATGTGTTGGCCATCCCAGCATCCACAGTTGCATCGGAATCTGCATTTAGCACGGGCGGTCGTGTTGTTGATCACTTTCGTAGTTCTTTAACTCCCAAATTGATTGAAGCACTTATATGCACACAAGATTGGATTCGGAAAGGTAATCCACCCATTTTTGAAGAAAAGGAATTTGAAGATCTTGAGAAATTAGAAGAAGGTATGTATTATTTCTATCTTTTCATTAATTGATATGTTTAATAAATATTTATAGCAAACATAATCCCTTTTATGGTTTAATTTTTATCAGTATGGGATGCTAATCTCTTGGACTTGGATGACTTTGAAGATTTTCATTAAGGTAAATGATCAATTTATATTTTAGTTTTGGCATTGAAACATTATATTGAATTTTCTGAATATAGGAACATTTGTCTTTATTTGCTCTTCATGCTTGCATTAGAATTTGTTATTTTATTTTGTTCCATTTATTTTTATTTTGTTCCATTTATTTTTATTTTGTTCCATTCAGAATTCTGTCATTTTTGCTTAATTTGATCTTATCTTCAGAATTCAGAATTCCAGACTGTCTGTTTTCATGAATAGTACGGATATGTTTCCATTCTCTTGTCTGGTGGTCTGGGTAAGCATTCACCAGCACCTTTCAAAAATCGATAATTTTAAGCATTCCATTCGAGTTCATCAAGGGATTGTGCTTTTGGTAATAAAATTAAATTCATCAAGGGAATTATTGTCATTATTATTGTTTCTTTATTGTTTTGCTTACATTAAACAGGTCTCATTTTGCCTTTGGCAGTTCATGTTTCGCCCGACTAGTTGAGCTCACTATGGTCCGGTACCTACTGCTTGCTTGGTTTCAACTTTCAAGGTGTGATCAATCCTTTAGTATCTTGTTTGATGATGAAGTATGAACTTGTAGGGATGATTAATGATTTGTGGAGATTATATTTAACTTTTGTGGAATGATTTATGATTTGCACTATACCTATTGGTTGTTGCTGTTTGTGGATGATTATTTGCAAACAGAGATGGTTTATGGTTTGTGATTGTGATTATGATTTATGATTTGCAAACATGAATGATTGGTTGATTATGTTTAATTGTTTATGAAGTTTTCGGTTCGGTTCGGTTCGGTTTATTATTTGCAAACAAGTAAGCAGATTTGTGTTAGGTTTGCTCGGTTCGGTTCGATTCGGTTAATTCGCGAATAGTAGGATTTTTTCGGTTAACCGAAAATTCGGTTAACCGAGATTTTCGGTTCAGTTTCGGTTAGCAAGTTCGAATATTTGCTCGGTTCGGTTCGGTTAGCAAATACCTCGAAAAACTCGAGTATCCGAACCGTGCCCAGCCCTATGATATCATACCCAATCCTTCTAACCAAACTGACCCTAAGTGTCTTATTAAATAAGAAAATTATTTCATGAATAATTATGATTATGCATATAAACATTTGAGAATATTTTTGTGACTTAGTAAATAGAGAATAAGATAAAGAATATGATAGATTAATTAATTACTATAACTACAAAATAAATAAGATAATGTATTGTGTCATAATAA